CGGGCTCTTCCCCGGCGGGCCAGGGCTCCGGTTCGCACGGAGCAGACGGTTCCGGAGCGCTTGGCTGAGCGCTGGGCGCTGAGGGCTCCGGCGTCGGGCGCCGTGCAGGGGCTGGGGCCGGGGAGGGCATGGCGGGGCCCGAGCCCTGGCGTAGCTGCAGCAGCTCGGACAGTGTGTGGTTCTTGCGGAGCTGCAGGCCGTCGGGGAAAGGTTCCTGGCACAGAGGGCAGCGGGCTGCGCCTCCGGAACCGCCAGTGCCTCCTGCGCTGCGGTGCGGCCAGAGAGCGCCCAGGCAGGCGAGGCAGAAGTTGTGGCCGCAGGGCAGCGTCACCGGCTCCCGAAGCGGCTCGAGGCAGATGGGGCAGCTGAAGGGCCCGCTGCCGTCCATGGCTCCGCGGCCGCCTGGCGCCGCCTGTTCTGCTCCCGCCTGGGAGGGACTCGGACCGTTCGCGCCCTGGCACCGCCCTTTGGGACAAAGGCCAAGGGTCCCGCCCCCCACGTCCCTCCCTCGGCTCGGCCCGCCTCAGCGCAGCCCGCTCGCGGGTCCTCGGATGTCGGCCCCGCCTGACTTGAAGAGGCTTCTGCGCGCCCGCCCTGCCTGGGTCCTCCACCCCTCGCGCTTTGAGGGAAGCGCTGCTGAAAGAGTGTCAAAGAAACGAGGGCAGGGAATTGAGGGGGGACACAGGAAGGAATCTGGGAAAGAGTTCCCACCCACCCTTGCCCAGTCCGGGACGCATGGGGAGTGGGCGGGCTCAGATCTGGCACACCAGCACCTTTACTCTCAACTCCAGACCTCCTTGGCACCGTTAGCAAAGGTGGTGAGCTGCTGACTGCAGAGAAAGTAACTGCTGATGTGTGTATGTTTTTGCCCCTTAGCGACTTTATTTACCCCCAGTGGGGAAGTTGGACTTTTCTAGACTTGGAATGGGAAGTTGACGTCACCCCCAAAGTCCCTATCTAAGGAATTTAGTCTGGTCAATAGACTCTTGCAGGCACCTAAGGTGCGTCAGGGCAGGATTGGGAATTCCCCAAGAGGAGGCATGGGTTAAAATTCACATGAACCCAAAGTATAAAAAAACAAATCCATGAGTTCATGTTAATACTAATGAGTAATTGGGTAAATGAATAATGGAGAAGAGTAGGCACATTCCTCATTCAGGAGACTTCCAAATAATCTTTGTAGATTCTCCAAGGTGGAGCATAGTTTCCCACTTCTTACGTGTGATTGTAAAGAGAGACTTTCTTGTAAAAGAAGCAAAAGAGTAGTTTCACAGTGGAGAATCCTGCTGAACCCCATTTTAACCAGGTGATCAAGGTCAACATCAAAAGTTAGCATGGAGGGGCTGGGGTTGTGGCTCAGCGGTTAGAGCGCTTGCCTAGCATGTGCGAGGCACTGGGTTCTATCCTCAGCACCATGTAAAAATAAAATAAACAAAATAAAGGTATTGTGTCCAACTACAACTAAAAAAATATATT